CGACATTGCCTCAGGAAGTCCCGACAATCGCGATAAACGGCTTTTGATCCTTCTACTCCTTTTGCAAGAAGGTGCCTTCCTTTACTTCTCCTGCTTCGGGTCGAAGCAGCTGGGTCGAGAGAGGTCTCATGTTGATCAACACCTTAATGAGTAACTCGCTCCCCATTAGGGATATCCATGTTGAAGGCAGGTGATCCCCCGTGTTGGCGGGCACCCAGGTGGTGGTTGACTTCCCCGGGGGCGATGAGTTCGTGTGTTTGAGCATGCCTAGCTTTATGGAGCATTCCGAAGAGCTTCTCATACTGCTCATGGAGGATCTCATTCTTTATTGCTATCTTGTTGTTCTGAGCCTCTAGCTCATCGACTTTAGCCTGAAAAGCAAACCTCTTTCGTTCCTTCTTTCGTTGCTTTGCACTAAGTGCGAGGGGGGTGTCGTTCTGCGTGCTGTGGCTCCCTTCACTCCCTATGTTGGAGAGGGGTGCCTGGTCGAAAGAAAGTGTGTGAATGGTGGAAATCAGCTTGACAAAGCTGGAGAGAGTAGGAATAAGTGCGATTCCCACAGACGGCGCCAAATGTTGATGCACAAAATCGGCGAGGACTTTGGTACAACAGAAGGTGTCAAGTTTGTGACCTTCGCTAGGTTGCTCTGGTCATTAGTGTGGATAAGTATGTAAGTGAATAGAAACAGGGAAGCAAATAACACAAGATGTACGTGGTTCACCCAGATTGGTTACGTCTACAGAGTAGAGGAGTTCTCATTAGTTGTGAAGGGTTTACACAAATACATAAGTTCAAGCTCTCTTTTTGTGAGTTCTAGTGAATAGTTTAGTACAAAATGACATTAGGGATTATTGTGGGAGAACGATCCCCTTTTATAGAAGAGAGTTTCTAGTTTTGTTGTGACATTGACACGTGTCGTGTTGTGATTGACCTCTGACATTGACACGTGTTGCGTTGTGATTGGCCTTTGATACCGACATGTGTCGCGTTGTGACTGGCCTCCTAGTTGGAGGAAAAGTCTTGATGGTTCTTGACGGTATGCTGTTGACTGGTGCTTAGTAGTTTCGAGATTGGTCAAGTATGGTACAAACAATGGTGCTTCCTTTATTTTTTGTGGATCAATTATTCTCTTGTGATTATTGACTTGTCGTGGGAAAATAGTATGATGGATTTGATAGATGAAATGGAATTCTTGGTTATTATATATGGTTTCGTTAAGTAGTATGGAATCTAATGAATTATACTCGTTGTGTTCCATGGAGTGATTCTGGAACTTTATGTTATTTTCTTGCTAGGAGCTGACATGAGAAATGTCGGGAAAATGGTGAACTACGAAAGATTTGATCCGTCTTTGGGTACGTAGGCAGTCTAACAGAAAGGTTAGGGGCAACCATGATATAAAGAAAAGTTAATGTGTTGTTGAACTATTGGTTTGTTCTTAGTCATGCCTCAGAAGTGAGGCATGATAGATGAACAAGAATGTGGTCGTGGTAACGTCACGTGTCGATCTTGAAAGTATCTAAGGATCGGGGCGTGACACACATCCTAGGGGTGACTCAGCCTGGTTAATCCGCACTGTGTGGTCATTGCCTAATTGGTCACATTTGACCTATTGGTGGTCCTACATGGTTAATTCGCATCGGTAGGCCACGTTATCGAATGGGTGAATCTGGTTATGCCTGGTTAATCTGCATTGGGGGACCATACGCATTCTAGAGTTGGATTCCGTTGAGTAATTAGGAATCCCTTTTTCTATTTGGTTTCGTTAAGTGGTCTGGAACCCTATCTTTGTTTGATTTCGTTAAGTGGTCCGGAATCCCTTTCTCTATTCGTTTATGTTCAATGATCTAGAATCTTTTTCCTTATTCAGTTCTATCAAGTGTGGTCCAAAACCTATATTCTTGTGTATAGACGTTGCTCAAGTTCACAGTTATGGTTGTAACTTAGGGTTATAATGTTGGATAATTGGATTTCAAGTACAGAATACGGCAAACCTTATGGAAGGTTGGCTTTATTAAAAATATTGAAGTGATATTTGATCTTCTTAGTTGATCAACATAGTCAAATGTTAATGTTGTGCATCTTCGGTTCATGGAATCGATTATTTGTTGTAATTGTGGAATTGTGTTAGTAAATATTGTGATATAAGTGAATGACCAAATGACAATCGTGGTTGGCATATGGTTTCGTTATGTAGTTTGGAATTTAGTGATTCATGCTAGTCAAGTCAAGTTCTATTGAGTGATTTTGAAACTCTATGTTTTTCTGCTAGAAAGTAATATGAGAAAAGTTGGAGTTTAAGAAAGGGTGAACTATGAATGGCTTGATCCCAAATGATACGTAGGCAGTGTAACACAGAGGTTAGATGCAACTATGAATAAAAGAAAAAAATTACTATACTATTGAACAATTGGGTTGTTTTTGGTCATGACTGGGAAGCAAGGCATGATAACTAGTACTTTTTGACATCATGTGTCGATCCTAGACGTATGAGATCATTCAGTTCCCTTTGAAATGATGGGTTGTTGTTGACACAAAACTTACAATGTGGTGGCAATTTGGGTGTTTGGATATACTCATTTATAACGATATTGTGTTCGTGTCAGCTCACAAATAGATCAATGTGCAAAAGATAAATATATAATGTAGTAATACGACAACTAATACCATTCACTATAAAATGTGAAAAGTTATCATTTGTTTAATATAATACTAGCATATGGACATACACAAAGTGTGTGAGAAAATTTTTTATTTTTTATTTTTGAAATAGGAGAGAGGAATGGAGTGACAGAGAATGTGAGAGTGGTAAAGTTTTTTTATTATTTTTTTATTTTTTATAATTAGATATATGTTAGGATTATATGTAGGTGAGGTTTTGAAAAAAAAAACAGCAAAATTTGATTGTGTGAAATTACATTTCTACCCCATATTTCTTATTCATGTTCAGTTTTAATTAGAGGGTTAAACTGGTAATTTTATAAGATTTTGATTGACAATGAATGTTTTATTAATTAGTAGAGATTAGTTAATCAATATTAATCAGTAACATATCATATCTTCTATTCGTAAGAATTTTGAGATGTGTAATGTATTGCCCCCGAAAATGCTACTCTCTCTATCACCCAATATAGTCGTCCATCCCGTTATTATATTATTACTGTTGACTTAGTCTTCTGTTTTCGAGAAGTAGGAGAAAAAAGAAGCCACCCGGCATCATTATATTAAAAAAATTGCGTACAATATAGGCGATATTTTTTAAAAGAAAACTAATGAAAAGGGTTTAAAAATTTTAAGCTTTAAAGATAAGGATAAAATAAAGGGTAAAGTGAATAGTATCAGGATTGACTTTTTAAGGTAAAAATATGGTTTTTTGTTGAAGTGAACAGTACCGAGAGCTTTTCGTTAAAGTTCCATATTTTTTATTCTAAATTTGACTAAAACGAAAATATGAACTCAAAACATAATGAATTGAAGATAGATATTTTGCCAAGATAGAAACTCACCACGTACATAATAAATCATTAAACCATCTCCAACCCTTGAGCTAAAACCTAAAATTTTTAGCCTAGAAAATTTAGACTTTAGTCAAGAAACAACTTTTATAGTCCAACCCTTCTGGCCTAAATTTTTTAGCACGAGATTATTAAAGAATAAATTTAGACTAACTTTTTCTTTTAAAGTAAAAAAAAAATTATGTACACTATCATAATTTAATTTTATGAACATTTTAACTTAAAAATATTTAAATTCCGATAAATATTGAAAAATCATTAAATTTGGATGAATTTTGAGTTAAATAATTTTTTAATTATTTTAGCTGTTGGATTTAAATTTGGCCTGTTAGTTCTTTTTTTTACTGTTAGATTTGAATATATTCGATCTCAGCCGTTGGATTCAATAAATCCTGAGAGACATGCCCATGTGAGTGGACTCCCGCTAGTGGTGCCCACACCATTTTATGGGCTAAATCCTGAGGAGAATTTGGTTTTTCTTTGACTTTTAGCTTTTAGTCCACACATTTATCTTTTAGTTCACACATTTAGCATGAAGTAGATTGAGTTTGGACGGAGAATACAACTTAAAAATTAACATTTACACCAGGATTCAGTTTGATCTTAGTATTACCCTAAACCTTTTCGCATATCAAGGAGAATGTTTTTTGCCCGATCCCAAATTCCCAAATATTTTACCCTAGACTATAATTAAACAACAGACCACAGATATGGTGTGCCATGTATCCAGTTGCTAGCTCACTGGTAGTAATGCTATGTACAATAATTTTTTAGATCATATTTATAAATTATGTGATTTATCATAAATAGAAAATAAATGTATTAATCAGTAATTAAGTAATAATTTAATTATCAAAAATTACAGTTACATAATTTTATAAAATTTAATTTAAAATAAAAAGTCCTCTCTAGCATTAATGATTATGCAAACCCAATGGCATTGATTGTTAGTTTGTATAGGAGTGAAAATGTGTGTGTAAATATTAAATAATTCACCAACCATGTCCTTTATTCGGCAGTGAGTACTTCAATCCTTTTAGGATCCCTTTCACTAATTCTAACCAATTACCTAATTCAGATTCTTAAAATTTGATCTAACGGTTAAAATTATTATAACTTTTAAAGGATGCCCTGTTTGTAGCTATTTAATCAAATTTCAAAAGTCTGAATTTATCATTCAAGTAGATTTGATGAATCCCTTTCCTTCAGAATGCAGGATGACTGAGTTTATTATTTATTTATTCATTCATCTTTAAGTGGGACTTGTGCTTTCTCAACTGGCTTGTGGAATTTCATCTTGGTTGCCCTCCTTGTCGGATCTTGTGCAACTCTCAACTAGTATGTTCTTGTTTCTCTTCTTTCTTCTTTTACCCTTTTATTTATTAATTTTCATGTTAATTTTTATTATTTATTTTATGTTTTGTGAATTTACTTTTCAAGTCTGCTGGAGTGCAGATAGTTGATAGGTTGTTTGTTTATGACTTGTTTTTCACTCTCTCTTTTGTGTGTCTGTTTTTCTGCTTATCTTCCTTAACTAGTCAATATTTGTGAAAAATACTTGTGGATTCGAATCCATCGGTGGCTAATCTAATATCTAATATAACAAAATATATCATTTGACAAAAACAAATAAAATATTGGTGAAAAATACTGAACTAACAGGGGAGAAAAATGGTAAAAAAAAAAAAAAAAAAAAAACTCAGAAAAAGTAACCAATCATGTTGTTAAGTAGAGTAATTCATGTTTGAAGTCAGTCTACAAAACCTCTACTTTGATTTTGTTGATATCCGGGTCTTAAAGCAAATTTAAACCAACGATGATCCCAACTCCTCATCTAACCTTATTTCTTGTTCTACTTGTTAATTTAGTAGGATATTTTAGACATTTTCCCATGCTTTCAAACGTTAAAGATTGGAAATTTCGGTCCCAAGTTTTCGAAATATTATCCAGTTTTTGTTTCCCTTGATGGGAAGATGAAAAATGTCAAGAAAAATCGACAGGTCTTCAGGTCAACCCCATTTATGTATCTAGTTATATTGTTTTGTATCTAATTTCTGCTCATGGTTTTGCACTACATGTGCTCTAATAGATTCACACTCTTACATAGCACAGGCTTATGTTTGTATTCTTTCCTGCTTAATGAGTTTTCCTTTACAGAGCATCACTATTGGTTCAACAACGGAGAAAATGGCAAGAATGTCCAAGGAGGAGAAGAAGCCTACCTTCTTTCAGATTATTTGCAAAGGTTTCAACACTGAAAAATTGGTAAATGCTTTCAACTGATGTCGCGTCTTTAATTACCTGAATTTATTTGTTTCTTTCAACCATGTTGCTCATTAATCTATAACTGACTAGTTAGAATCTGTGTTAGGGGTGATTAAAGCTAGAAACATGTTTAAATTCTTTACCATGATACGAAATTTTAGTCTGTTCATTCTTTTTGTTTGTTTCTTGAAGACTGTCCCGCGAAAGTTCTTGACACATGTACTGAAGGAGCTGTCCGAGAGAGCAATTTTGAAATTGAAAGGTTCTTCAGATTACTCATGGACTGTCAATGTGACTAAAACACCAAAAGGTGCGGTGCGTTTCAATGGTGGCTGGCAGGAGTTCTTGAAGGATAACTCCTTGGGTCACGGCGACTTTTTGGTGTTCACTTATGATGGAAAGATGCAATTCAGTATAGATATATTCGACAACACTGCGTGTCACAGAATTGATGACAAGATCAACCCCAATTCAATCAGCTCTTCTGGTGACGATTCGGGTATGTATGCAGTCTGATGTCGCAATATGCATGTCTCTGTTTGATCTCTTGTAACTCATGTCTCTGCTATGTTTTTATTTTGATACGGATGCAGTTCAAAACCTTTCAAGTTCCGAATCCAGTGAGTTTGATGAGAGTACAGAAGAGGAAGAAGATGAAGAAGACGACAGTTGCAAGGACTCGGAAGCTACCTGCGAAGACAACGTATCTGAGGATTCAGAAGCTACTCAGACTGAATCTTTCAAATCTAACTTTCCTCATTTTGAATGTGTCATCGGAGAATCTGTGGTAAGCAAGGCAAGCTTTAACTTAGCTTTCATTTTTCTAGTCTGGATTTTGGCTTCCAAAGAATTGAAATTTCTAACTGCCCTTGGGAGCAGTAAATTACATGGACACAATGACACATAGTATGCTCAATTGTTAAGAAACACTAATTTGAATGTTTAATGCCATCAATTCCACTCACAGAAAATTGGATTTCACTTGTGCAGTTCGTCCCTTCAGCGTTCTCCAGGAAGCATTTCCCCCAAGGGAAAAGTTTTGAGGTGATCCTGAAAAATGCAAAGGGAAAGAAATGGGAAGTTAAAGCCTACCCTGCCAATGGATCGCACTTTTTGTCGAAAGGGTGGCCTGAATTTGCATCTGCTAATAAGATCATTATCGACAGTACTTGCATATTCGAGCTTTTGAGGGCTAACACAATGATGGTTCACATTGTTTAGACAGAATCAATTAAGCTGTTAACAATATGGCAATTTAAGTAGAGCATGCTTTAAGTAGTGCACTTGGCTGTACTCGTATTTTCTGAATGCTGTAGTGGACGTTGGTTGTACTCTAAATAGTTGTGTTTCAGACTAATTAGTTTGATGTTGGTGCAAGTTCTTTTTCTTGTTCAATAAGTCCACAGCAAGCTTAGAGTCGGATTCAATCATATGAGGAAACAATTGTGCAGAGAAGCAAATTTTAGGGCCAGGAAAATTTGCCCATACTTTAGATTGAAGAACAGAACCCTCACTCAAATCAATAGTCTATCACAATTTGTCACAAATTCTCACAATCGATCTATACATCTATACATCGTTTAAACATGATTCATAAGTTTGTAACACCATGTTGATATTCGGCATGGAAGATTTCCTTCATCTAAATACACCCTAAATAGTGCGTGTAAGCATCAACAACTACAATTGATCGAAATAAACTTTAGAATTTCTTCTATTATTAATTTTGTATCAAGTCTAGGAGAAAGTTTCAAAGTGATGGTCGCACCATTGTAATGTTACTAACCCGCATGTTATTATACGAACAAAAGACATGGCTGATATGTTAACGTGTGACCGCAGCACCCCATTGATGTGCCATATGACTTATGAAACTTAGTATTACAAACAAACAAGAGGAATGTTGTATTTAAGGGAAGTACATATATTTACTTGACACAACCGTTACACAGCCAACTCAATGAGTCATAACTTGTACAGTAGTTAAGGAATTCACCAACCCTATCCATGCCTGCAATGTCCTTTTGCAGTGAGTACAAGGAGTTACTTTGACTTCTCCATCTAATTTTTACCGCCTTGTGTTTCTATGTCTCAAACATTTGTTTCTTCAGAATGTTCTTCAATACTACGTAATATTGAATCATACAAGAACAAATGGCTGTTTGGGAGAAGGCCATTCTCTTTGTATTTTTCAGGTGCTCTTCTTTTTTAATTTCATGTTTGTTTGGAAGTTTCTTTGTGTTCAATTGGTTTGTTTAACTGGATTTTCAGTCTTCTGTTTTTGTTTGGTGTTTTAATTTGTTGTTCTTAACTTCTTGTTGTAACATGGCAGAAGCTCTGTTGGACATTTTTTGCTTGGCGGTGTGTTTGTGTTCTAGATTTGGGGTTTCCCTTTTGTACACCTAGTTTATATGCTTTATAAGTTCTTCCCAAATTTTTGTGATTGCAGTTCTCCGCTATGCATCTCATTTTGTTCTTCTTTAAAACTCTTCTTTACTTGTCATTTGTTGATAATAACTAACTTAAACAGAGGGGAAAAAATGCTGAGAACTATTGAAAAGTGCCCAAGAATGTGTTCATTTCCTTTTTTCGTTGATCGTTTTGTTGCTACCCTCTTGTTTTTTTATTAGATTAGTCTCATGCTGCTACTGAGAAGAAAAATGCTGAGAACTCTAGGCTGCAATGCAACATTTATCGATTTAATCTTGGTTTACATGCTTTCTGTTGTGTTGTGGGTTCTCTTAACATTTGCTGTATATACTAATTCGATTAGTCTCTCTTGTTCTGGACAGTTGCGTTGCAGCCTGATCTAAGCTGAGCCCTTTGTTTTCTCTCAAATGAACTGTATTTCGAAAGCTAGTGTTGCTTTTGTAGTCAATTCCTGCTTAAGTCCTTATCTTTGCTGCATTGCATGAACTTATAACGCTGTTGCGTAGCACAGGCTGCATTAGACAGTCCATTTAATTTCGTGTGTTGATTTGCCGGTTGCTTGTGTTCCAGGCTGGTATTTTCCCTTTTATCTCTTCTTTTTCTTCTTAAAGATTCTTCCAAACCTTACCAATTGAGTTTGACTTTGCAGAAAATGTTGAGAATAACACCGAAGAATTGAGGAGAAGAAGCCTTCATTCTACAAGATTGTTTTTTATTGTTACAACACCGAAGAATTGGTAATTGGTCTCAACTAATTCCACGTATTTAATTTTTTGCATTTACTTCTTGGAACGGTGTTGTTACTCACTGCAACTGTTTTATTTAGAAGCTGTATTTTGGTGCTTAATGTTAGATCAGAAACATGTTTAAATTCTGTACATAATTTTGAATTTTCTGCGTCAGCGTATCCCACCAAACGTCGGGAAACATATGCTGAACAATCGGTGGTGTGTATTTCAAGGATGGCTGGCCGGAGTTCTTAAAAGATAACTCTTTGGGTAACGGAGAGAATTTGGTATTCAGCTATGATGGAAGAATGCATTTCAGCATAACGGGTTTTTAAGAAGAATGCATGTAAGCGAGTCAATCATACCAACATTGGATCAAATCAAAATCCCGCCTATGCTAGCACTTCTAAAAGACCTCGTGGTAGACCAAGAAAGTACACTCCCGTGAGTTCTAAGCATCCCCTCCGATCAAGTTCTTCCAGCGATAGGTGGTCAGATGTCGTGATATACATGTCTACTGGATTTCATGTAACTCATTGCTCTGTTTTATTTTGGATGTGAAACTCTAGGTGAAAACCTTCCAAGTGCTGAGGGGAGTGAATTCAAAAAGTTTACAGACGAGGAAGAAGATTGCGGAGACAACGCATTTGGGAATTCAGAAGCTAGTTGCGAAGTAATTTCATCCAAGTCTTTATCACTGCATTCCTCCCAATCAGTCCCCTTTCTTGTAATGAAACTAACATCAAAATGCAACTAAGTGGAGTATCTTATATTGGATCACGTTGCTCGTGCAGTTCGCCCCCTTAGCCTTCTCTAGAGAATATTTTACTTAAGGCATATATTTTAGGGTCACCCTGCAAAATGCAGAGGGAAAGACAAGGACAGTGAAAGTTACTCCTTGCAACGAATCACACTGCTTCACCGCAAGGTGGTGTAAATTCGTATATGCTAACAAAATCAAGACCAGCGATACATGTACTTTCGAGCTTGTGAGTAGAAACTACACACACAAAAAAAAAAAAAAAAAGTTTATATATATATATATATAGCTGCACTAGATTAGTCGCCACAAAAGAGGAATTTTATGTGCACAAAAATAAGCATTTGGTGTCTCCCAGCCTTTCACAACTTGATCGGGGACTAGTCTGCAGTATGAGCAGGCTATAATCCATAAAAGTTTAATTCCCGCTCAGCCTTGTACTCCTTCTCAGCTTTTTCTTTGCCTCACTGTCAACAGCAACATCAGCAGCAACAGCATCTGCATTACCCACATCATTGTCACCAACATGCTTGCTAGTATCAGAGCCACTGCCAATTCCTGAAGATTCATTGTGTGGAAAGGTCTCCACTGAAGGAGTTGATCCCTCTGCAAGAACCTCTTCACCTGTGGTTTCTGTGTTTGTTGAGGGATGGCGGGTTTGAATGAGATAATGTGCCACAGATTTGTAACCCAGTTTTACGACCTGATAAGTTAACAAAATTTAGCCATTAGTTCATACTAATTTGTTGCCTTCGTCTTTTGTTTCCATCATGTACCAAAATCACGGCGCCCAAACTATGTAATGAACAAATATATGTATATATATGCCTTAAGTGTATGTGGGTGTGTGATTTTGTGTGTTAGTGCCTGCGTTCTACTGTGCCGACCCCACTTAGTGGGAAAAGGCTCTGTTGTTGTTGTTGTTGTTTGTGCCTGTGTTCTACTGTATTGCAAGCTTTTCTCTTCACGGGAGTAGCTCATTAAGGTTGAGAACGTTTACCTTTCTATACACATTACCAGTGGGTTCCCACCCCTTCGCTTGACGGCAGCAATTGCAGTTACAGATGCCCCGACAAACAGGACACGTCCAATCAGGATTTTCGCTGGCTTCCATAACATTCTCTCCATATCTATGGAAGACGGTAAAAGTCAATGCATAAGACCATAGCATTGATTAAAAAAGATGAAAAATTTGCTTCGGGCAACAGCAAAATTATTGACGTGCTTAATGTGGATGTGGTCTTGTTGTCCTCAAGCTACATGGTGCATGTAGCATCTTTTCATTCATAGCATGTTTTCGATACGAATTGGAGCATAAAAAAGGTGTTTACTTTTAACAGGTAACTAGTGAAAAAATTTACCTCATGTATAAGCAATCTCCACAAAACTGCCCTTGGACCAAGTCACATTTCCAGCACTGTGTATGATGACCAAGAGTTTTATGCCTGCAAGGAATTATGTCATCTCAAAACATAGTTTGCCAAGTGAAAGGACACCTAAGAAACATAGTTTACATAGTTGTATGAACGTTCTGTACGAGTACAAAGTGAACCCGGTATAGCAGTTGATTGAAGAACTTCTGCTATACACTTGACAACGTAACCTCTTCCAAAGGGTTATTAATCATATGTATAAGCTTCCTGAATCAGTCCTTAAATTATTTTTTCCAATTTAGATTCAGAAAAAAACAAAAAATACAACCTACAAGTATACAAGGATAGTACATGAATGAATAAGAACGGTGCAAGAACCAGCCAATGTATGGCAAAACTCAAGAAGAATACAATAAAAGAGCATTTGACTGAAACTTTTCAATTGGAAGCATAATTTGTGTGGCGATGAGAAGACTTTTTGAAGTGCTACACTGTCAATTATCCATATAAGCAATCTGTCGAAATGAAAGCCTAAAGCCGAAACAGACAACATACTTAGAAGGGTTCCAACTTCTAAAGTTGTCCTGGAGTAAATGGACAGAAAAAATGGAAAACATAAGATAAATGTAAAGCTTAACATATTCGCAAATAAAAAACAACGAAACAGCTAAGACGGTGATATACATCAGTTTCAGATTCTCGTTAGAATCAGAATGAAATCCACTGGCGCTCAGGCAATCTTTTAACAACAATGATTCAAAATGCCAAACAGGCCAATTGATAGAACATTGCTGGTCTATGCAACATGACTTGACTAAACTTGGCATGTTAAAATTCGATCTCGTTGTCAAGAACAACATTACCAGCTAGTCAATTAAGTTAGCTCAACCAATCGGTATAGTAAAAAACCTATTCAGGGTTTCAAAGAAATTTGCAAAGGTCATAACTATGCCTATACATAAAAAATTGTATACCTACCTGCATTGGTGGCAAAATTCTCCCTTAACCGGATCGTAAATACGCCTCCCATCTTCCCCATAGCCATCAACACCCAACTCCCAGCTTTCAACGCAATCCCCTAACAGCTTCTCATGCTCCTCTGTATAGATCTCTGGCTTTGAACCTTCCTTTATAAAAATTTCAACACTCCTCCTCTTTGGGCTCTTTGGGTTCTCGTCTTTCTTCATAGGCCTCTTCTTTTGCACATAATCTACAGGAGCCACACTCCTCAACCTAACAAAACCCCAAAAAAACAAAAAAGCTTTCTTTTTTTAAACATCAAAACCCGTCAAAGATGCAAACATTCCCACATTTTCCATTTTCTCGGAATCCAAACAGGAGGAAAGATGGGTTACCTAGAAGAGCGCCTGGGGGATCCGGAACCAGGAAGTGGGCTGTGGGTTTTTGCCCGGTGGGGACGTTTTGGGGCGGCAGCTTCGGTCTTGAGCTCCAGGGCAAGGTCCAAAATGCCCAGCTTTTGCAATCTCTCCTTGTTCTCTCTGATCCTACGGTCCCTGAACTGCTCGTACCCTGAAGTCCCTGCGGTTTCGTTCTCTACGGTTGCTCCGCCGTTCTCTCCGCAGTTTCCTCCGCCTCGATTTCTCAGAACCGCCATTGGAAATGGTGGACTGGAGCTGAAAGAAGACCTTCCGCGTCTCTGCGTCCAAGAGTGGAAGCGGGATGGTTTTCATTTTTTAAGACGGGGGAATTTGAAAAAGAGTTGAAAATTCCTTTTTTGTTTTTGCTAATTTTTGTCTCCCATTTCGCGCCGTTGATTTGTTACTTGCCCTACTGCACGTGCTCACAAGTGGCGGCCTTTTGGATGGAGAGTGGTCGATCATATTTGGTGAGAATAGAAGAATAATTATAAGATATTATATGAAATAATATCTTGCAATTAATATGGCAATTATTTCTAATTTAAATAGAAAGTTTTGGGAGTTATCTTTTGAATAAAATCAATAAGGGATTGATGAGAAGTGATGAGAGGAATGTGAAATAAATTTCATATTGATCACCTTTTGTGACATCCCACATTGCCCAGGGGAGTGGATCCTGTAAGCCTTATATGTATATTCTCATCTCTACCTAGAACAAGGCCTTTTGGGAGCTCACTGGCTTCGGGTTCTATGGGAACTTCGAAGTTAAGCAAGTAGTGCGCGAGAGCACTCCCATGATGGGTGATTGGGAAGTTCTCGTGTGAGTTCCCAGAAACAAAACCGTGAGGGCGTAGTCAGGGCCCAAAGCGGACAATATCGTGTTACGGTGGTGGAAAAGGGCCAGGATGTGGTGGACCCCGGGCTAGGATGTGACAATTTGGTATCAGAGTCAATCCCTAGCCTAAGGGGGGTGGATTGTGACATCCCACATCGCCCAGAGGAGTGGATCCTGTAAGCCTTATATGTATATTCCCATCTCTACCTAACACGAGGCCTTTTGGGAGCTCACTGGCATCGGGTTCCATAGAACTCTGAAGTTAAACGAGTAGCATGCGAGAGCACTCCCATGATGGGTGACCCACTGGGAAGTTCTCGTGTGAGTTCCCAGAAACAAAACCGTGAGGGCATAGTTGGGGCCCAAAGTGGACAATATCGTGCTACGGTGGTGGAGCGGGCCCGGGATATTGTGGACCTCGGGCCGAGATGTGACACCTTTGACTCTTCCTTCATTGAGCCGTTACTGTCTGTTGCATATGTGTGGGAATTCCGATGTGCCTTAAGGGAAATCTCGTCCTTCTTGTCCAAAAATTCATGTGTCATCTCCACAATTTTTGGGATTATTTTTTGCTTCACAAATGTCCCCATACCTGCTGGCTTACTCGTAGGAAAATGTTGTAGGTGTAAAGATCTCCAACTTTGATGCAGATTCCCACTTAGACTTGAACTTAGATTCTTCTTTGCTTACCCGTGCAAAGAATCGTATTCCGTTGATTTCCTTGTCTTCTCTGTGCTACACCAAGGTAAGAATAAACTTAATTTTCTTTGTCTTCTTCTTGAGTGGTGCTGCCGTGGGGTAGCCATCGAGGTGGTGCAGCACGTCAGCTAGCAGGGGCCAGGAGTCGGCTTGGCATGGGCCGATGAGGTGGTGTAACAAGGGCCACGACTTGGCTGGAGCCAAGGGCTTGCTTGGCTGGGCCAAGGAAGTGGTGTGGCATAGGCCATGGTTTAGGCTGCTCAGCTTGGCTAGAGCTAAGGGTAGCTATGCGACTGAGGTCGCAGCTTGAGGTACTAGGGCACAGTGCTGGTTGTTAGCTTGCTTACCAGACCTTCAGTTGAGAAGAAATCATTCGGCTGCTAAAAAGGTGTCAAAGCTTGCTCATTTTAATGTTATCATGTATGTGTTGTTTGCCAAGAAGAAGAAAACTGCTTGAGTTTGATTTCTTAGCTGTCGTAGATGGAGCTCCCAAGATCGGAGCTGCTAAAGTTGAAGTTTCGGATGAGCAAACTACTGAATAGGAAGTAGCTGCTGAGGGAATGATGGCTACTGGAGAGTCCAAGGTCATCCAAATTGCTAAATGAGTAGTCTACTCTGTTTAGCTTGTGTCAAATTTTGGCAACCTTCATATAAGTTTATCAATTTGCTAGAAATTTAATAAACTGCTTTCTTCGCTTTACTCCATCTTTGTTTTTCTTGAAACTTTGCTTGCTTGAAGCATCTTGCAAAACTTTTAACCATAGAACCATCGATTGGGCACGCTACTTCGAAAAAAGACGACAATCCCATGGAGTCACTATGGTCATGAGTTTTGCCTTCTTAGGTGTCGAACCATTGAGTTCTTAGTCAGCTGTTGACCCCTGACCATTTGCTGATTAGCTAGTCTTCCTTGCATCACAACATGACAACGA